CGGGTTTAAAGGTAGTTATGAAGACCAAATTGAGGTGGACCCTATTTTGGTCGCAGTCTTTTGTCGATGTATAGAAGTGATATAACCTCGCTTTCATAATTTGACCATGTTGTGGGCGCACCTTGTACGAGATCCATCGCCATAGTAGCTATGATTACTCCCAGCGTTGAATTATGGACTTGGCACATTTCCAGACGTTTCTCCGACATCGTCATTAAGTCCTGCCATTCTCAGTACCAAACTACAGCTCATCAGATACATGCTCAGAATTGCAAAACTCACTGACGATGCCGGCAAAACGTTCGGGAATTTATCAAGTCCACAATCCAATGCTGGGAATAACCATAGCTACTGTAGGCTAGGGCTTCGGACAAACTGAGTCAAATTAGGTCTCCCTCACGACAGGGCAAATGTGCTAAAACGAGGTCAGATCACTTCTACATCAAGTCGGGTTGAGAAAATGAGACGGAGGACAATAAGATAAAACAAAAAATAGGGGCGATGAGTGGTGCCACAATGGCTGAGCAGAAAATGGATAACTTTTTTCACTTTGAAAAGTCGCAAATATGTACCAAGGATAGCGCCTCTCAATGACGGTGCCGGCGAAACGTTTGGAAAATTAACAAGTTATCGGTCCGATGCTGAAAATCATCATGAATCAAGAACAAGGGGAGGCACTACTGACTAGGTTCTGCAAGGTCTCCTTGACCAAATTGAGAGAATGAGGTCAAACCAACACTCCAGCTAAAGGAGATTACGACCAAACAAAAGGCCACACCATCTTGATCTTCGTATCTACCACATATCTCGATGAACTTGTGTTGATAATTCGTGTCGTTCAATTTATACTACTGCAGAAACGATTACGACTGTACGACGACCCATCCGCTGTACTTATTCATCATTTAATTATTTTTGCTGCCTATACAGTCGTTTATTGAGCTCCTGCTAGCCTACTTGGAGCGCGAATCGGCTCCGCCCACTCAGATCCGTCTACCGCTTGACCACCTCACTCCCAACGCCGAAAGGCGTACTAGCAAGTTTGACTTATCCGGCAACTTTCCCTTCGGACCACTGCCAGTCTCAGAGCCTGCTCCATCCACTACTGATTCGACAAACATAACAGATCGGCGCCACAGTCCAACGGCCTTAGGACAGTTAAAGACACGAGATGTGACCGGCGGGCGAAATTCAGACGCCCCATTGACGACTGCCGCTTTGCCTCTTGTTCTCGCTCCAAGCCCGCCAAGGTCCACTCTCCAATCGGCAAATGCTGCCTTCTCCAACGGCGGTCAGACCTGCAGTGGTCCTTTCACAAGCGGTAATCGGCTCACAAATGCCAGATCCGACTCTGTTAGGCTAGACAAGATCAGCTCCAGGGGCCATGACACTAATCCGTTACTGGACATGCTACCTTTACACTGAGTCCCACGGATTTCTGCCTCTTCTGAATTCGAAATGTTGTTGTACCAATTCCAATTTGTCTTTCCTTTGAATTTTATTAATCGAAGCAGTCAAATTCTTTTGATCTTCATTAGTCATTTAATGCAACCTATTCGATTCACATATTCTTCCGCATTTTGTCTTTTACACATGAATAATTTTTGCTTCACTCTTTTTTCCTACACACAATTTATTGTATTCATGCAAAATAGACAAATCTTATTAATTTTATTGTCTGTCATCTGTGATTTAACGTCTCACAGTTATATTCGTTGACTTAAGCACCATTCACTGGGCCTAAATTCTCTACTTTGTGCAGATTTTTGGAATGATTAGTTATTTTTTCATGAAAGCATACACAAACATTGTTACACTTTTGCTGTTCACTACTCAGCCGTACAGTAATACAAGAGATCATTGGTGCTAGTCATTGCCAATATGCATATATTTACCTTGTTGAGAAAGCTTCCAACCTACATTTTGATTATTCGCAACCTTGGTAATGATCTTTTTTGGCTGTGCACATCCGACGAAATTACTATTATAGGTCGAGACTAATGCATGGAGTATATTTGTAGGGCGTCGACAGCGCTTGGTAATACTCCTACTGGACTTTCTAAAGTAATTTAAAGTAACATTTATAAGTGTGCGAGATCCATTTTTGAGGCCTTTAATTAACTGTCATACTACGAGTATTCTACCACAGACTCCCGCCGCAGATGCAGGTCTGGCCGGTAACAGACAATTGTATCCACATTATAGGAACTGTATTCACTCTATGTTAATAGCGCTTAGAAGCTGCAACTTCATCCCAATGTGGAGGCAGGTTCATTACGGAAACTGAAAAGGCGGCGATGGCACCGAGGCTCGAGAAGTGACTCGGAATACCCAGGATAAACCAAGCAACCTTTGGTAAGCAATAAAATGGCGTCCTAGTGCGTATGTGTCTACTTGTAATTGTATGCACAAATTCGATGCTTAAAAAGTAGCCGATATGCTCGCTTCAACTATCTTCTGACAGTGAATCGGATTTAAGGGTCCGAAGGTAAGGACTAGTGAATACAGTTGGCTTGGCAAGTGCTGTCTGCTGCGATGCAAGCTCAAACATAGTTTTGTTTAAAAAAGGGAAATAATGGTCAATGTTAATTTGAGGTAAATTTCTTTGTAAGATGGATGACAAGGTTTCAGCATGGAATGATTACTGTTCCTAAATTGCATGTCACCTATAGAAAGCTGACTCGATCACATTAATTTTACTGCATGACTAAATAGCGTCGTCCAAGAGTGATAGAACTAATTAGCCTAGTTTTCAACAGTATTCTCTACATACTGGATCATCATGTGGATTATTTTCTATATTCCTCGCGGTTCACGGTCATTATGTATCAGTGCAACAGGAACCAAATGTCAATAATAATTTGTACAACCTGACTTAAAAGAATGACAAGATGCAACTCAGAGACAAAAAACAATTTGCGTTAAATCAATAAAAAACGAATAAATGAAATCATCCGGGGCCAAAGTTTATATACATAGTTTAAGTAATTTTGGGGATGTTAAGCAATCCATTTGGATGAGTAATGGTGTCGCATGAACACAAGCTAGCCGACCGCCATGCTGACCCTCTGACTGCATATTTCAAATAACAACGAATCCCTGGTACCTATCTTTCAGGGTGAGGCCTAAAAATGCCGCTCCCACTAAATATAAAACGGCTTCGGCTACGAAAAACCTTCAAACTGTCTCAAAAATATTTAGTATCCTTATAAAAAAGTACAACTTATTTGCCTATTGGTATTGTGGAAAGCAGGATACATACATATAAATATTTAGAGGACTAAAAAGCATGGAAAGGCAAGTCTGGCAGGTGTATATTATGTGAAGAAAAGTTGGGTTATAAGCAATTTCTTGTTTAATAATTGTTGAGCTTACTTCCATTTCGAGTGAAAGTGTTAGGTAAAGAGATTCGAAGGTCGGTTCCACCTTTTGACCAGGTGTTGATTGGCTTTACTTGAAGATTCATGCTGACGCTGTTTCCGAGGTAATCTTCGATTCCGGTGAAAGGATATTACGTTTTTGTCCCTCATACGACGAACAAAAAAATTACCAAATCACTTTGTACTTGATCAAAGATGCCAGATGTAGAGTATATATATCACTTTTTAGAGATTTTTCGATGAGTTTTTTTGACTCGTTAGCTTGAATTTGGTTGTGACGATGATATCATGCTCTGATGATGTTCGTCGTATGACGAAAACTTAGCACTTTTTCACTGGAATCTAGGGAGATTAACTCTGAAACAGCGTCAGCATGAATCTTCAAGTAAAGCAAATCGACAGCTGGTCGAGAGGAACCGGCCTTCGTCTTCTGGTGGAACCGACCTTCGAATCTCTTCACCCAACACTTTCACTCGAAATGGATGTAAGCTCA